TACATGGAGTGTGGGAAGGTTTTTGGTATACAGTGGAGGTGGGGGCGGGTTTTTGGTATGCAGTGATGTGGAAATGGTTTTGGTATACGGGGTGTGGGACAGGTTTTGGTATGCAGTGGAAAAAGGGGGGACAGGTGGGGATACAGTGGAGTGTGGGGCAAGGGGTGGGTATTTCAGTGGGGTGTGGGACAGGTTTTTTGGTATACAGTGGAGTGTGGGATAGGTGTGGTAAACCCGTGGAGTTTTGGGACAAGGGTGGGGTATACCAAATTTGGAAATGTGGGGACAGGTGTGGTATACAGGGGGAGGTGGGATTTGGTGTGGGATACCCTTGGAGTGTGGGGACGGTGTTGGGGTTTTTACCCGTGGAGTGTGGGACAGGTGTGGTATACGTGGAGTGTGGGGGCCAGGGGTTGGGAAAAAGTGGAGTTTTTTGGGGACAGGTGTGGTTTTTACAGTGGAGTGTGGGACAGGTGGGGGTTACAGTGGAGTGTGGGACAGGTTTTGGTTTTTACAGTGGGGTGTGGGACGGTGTGGTATACCCGTGGGAGTGTGGGACAGGTGTGGATTTCAGTGGGGGGTGTGGGACAGGTGTGGTTTACCCGGGGTTTTTAGGGTGGGAAAGGTGGGGGGATAAGGGGGAGTTTTGGGACGGGTGTGGTATGCAGTGGAGTGTGGGACAGGTGTGGTGTGCGGTGGAGTGTGGGACAGGTGTGGTAGCAGTGGAGTGTGGGACAGGTGTGGTATACAGTGGAGTGTGGGACAGGTGGGGTTTATACAGTGGAGTGTGGGACAGGTGTGGTATACAGTGGAGTGTGGGACAGGTGTGGTATACAGTGGAGTGTGGGATAGGTGTGGTATACAGTGGAGTGTGGGACAGGTGTGGTATACAGTGGAGTGTGGGACAGGTGTGGTATGCAGTGGAGTGTGGGACAGGTGTGGTATACAGTGGAGTGTGGGACAGGTGTGGTATGCAGTGGAGTGTGGGACAGGTGTGGTATACAGTGGAGTGTGGGACAGGTGGGGTTTATACAGTGGAGTGTGGGACAGGTGTGGTATACAGTGGAGTGTGGGATAGGTGTGGTATACAGTGGAGTGTGGGACAGGTGTGGTATACAGTGGAGTGTGGGACAGGTGTGGTATGCAGTGGAATGTGGGACGGGTTTGTGGTATACAGTGGAGTGTGGGACAGGTGTGGTATGCAGTGGAATGTGGGACAGGTGTGGTATACAGTGGAGTGTGGGACAGGTGTGGTATGCAGTGGAATGTGGGACAGGTGTGGTATACAGTGGAGTGTGGGACAAGTGTGGTATGCAGTGGAATGTGGGAAATGAAGAGAATGTGGTAAGAAGGTAGGGTGTTAAGGAGCTAGGGTGGGTAGTAATAAAGCTAGGGTGTTAAGGAGCTAGGGTGGGTAGTAATAAAGCTAGGGTGTTAAGGAGCTAGGGTGGGTAGTAATAAAGCTAGGGTGTTAAGGAGCTAGGGTGGGTAGTAATAAAGCTAGGATGTTAAGGAGCTAGGGTGGGTAGTAATAAAGCTAGGGTGTTAAGGAGCTAGGGTGGGTAGTAATAAAGCTAGGATGTCAAGGAGCTAGGGTGGGTAGTAATAAAGCTAGGGTGTTAAGGAGCTAGGGTGGGTAGTAATAAAGCTAGGGTGTTAAGGAGCTAGGGTGGGTAGTAATAAAGCTAGGGTGTTAAGGAGCTAGTGTGGGTAGTAATAAAGCTAGGGTGTTAAGGAGCTAGTGTGGGTAGTAATAAAGCTAGGGTGTTAAGGAGCTAGTGTGGGTTAGTAATAAAGCTAGGGTGTTTAAGGAGCTAGGGTGGGTAGTAATAAAGCTAGGGTGTTAAGGAGCTAGGGTGGGTAGTAATAAAGCTAGGGTGTTAAGGAGCTAGGGTGGTAGTAATAAAGCTAGGGTGTTAAGGAGCTAGGGTGGGTAGTAATAAAGCTAGGGTGTTAAGGAGCTAGGGTGGGTAGTAATAAAGCTAGGATTTTTAAGGAGCTAGGGTGGGTAGTAATAAAGCTAGGGTGTTAAGGAGCTAGGGTGGGTAGTAATAAAGCTAGGGTGTTAAGGAGCTAGGGTGGGTAGTAATAAAGCTAGGGTGTTAAGGAGCTAGGGTGGGTAGTAATAAAGCTAGGGTGTTAAGGAGCTAGGGTGGGTAGTAATAAAGCTAGGGTGTTAAGGAGCTAGTGTGGATAGTAATAAAGCTAGGATGTTAAGGAGCTAGGGTGTTAAGGAGCTAGGGTGTTAAGGAGCTAGGGTGGGTAGTAATAAAGCTAGGATGTTAAGGAGCTAGTGTGGGTAGTAATAAAGCTAGGGTGTTAAGGAGCTAGGGTGGGTAGTAATAAAGCTAGGATGTTAAGGAGCTAGGGTGGTAGTAATAAAGCTAGGATGTTAAGGAGCTAGGGTGGGTAGTAATAAAGCTAGGATGTTAAGGAGCTAGGGTGGGTAGTAATAAAGCTAGGGTGTTAAGGAGCTAGGGTGGGTAGTAATAAAGCTAGGGTGTTTAAGGAGCTAGGGTGGGTAGTAATAAAGCTAGGGTGTTAAGGAGCTAGGGTGGGTAGTAATAAAGCTAGGGTGTTAAGGAGCTAGGGTGGGTAGTAATAAAGCTAGGGTGTTAAGGAGCTAGGGTGGGTAGTAATAAAGCTAGGGTGTTAAGGAGCTAGGGTGGGTAGTAATAAAGCTAGGATGTTAAGGAGCTAGTGTGGGTAGTAATAAAGCTAGGGTGTTAAGGAGCTAGGGTGGGTGTAATAAAGCTAGGGTGTTAAGGAGCTAGGGTGGGTAGTAATAAAGCTAGGGTGTTAAGGAGCTAGGGTGGGTTAGTAATAAAGCTAGGGTGTTAAGGAGCTAGGGTGGGTAGTAATAAAGCTAGGGTGTTAAGGAGATAGGGTGGGTAGTAACAGAGGGTGGAAAGGGGAAGGGTGGGTATTAATAAAAAAGACTGGTAAGGAGGCAGGGTGGTAAGGAGCTGGTGTGGGTAGTAGTAAAGGCAGGGTGGTAAGGACCTGGTGTGGGTAGTAATAAAGGCAGGGTGGTAAGGACCTGGTGTTAGTAGTAATAAAGGCAGGGAGGTAAGGACCTGGTGTTAGTAGAAATTTAAAGGAAAGGGAGGTAAGGACCTGGTGTGGGTTAGTAATAAAGGAAGGATGGTAAGGACCGGGTTGTGGGTAGTAATAAAGGCAGGGTGGTAAGGACCTGGTGTGGGTAGTAATAAAGGCAGGGTGGTAAGGACCTGGTGTGGGTTAGTAATAAAGGAAGGATGGTAAGGACCTGGTGTGGGTAGTAATAAAGGCAGGGTGGTAAGGACCTGGTGTTTAGGTAGTAATAAGGCAGGGTGGTAAGGACCTGGTGTGGGTTAGTAATAAAGGCAGGGTGGTAAGGACCTGGTGTGGGTAGTAATAAAGGCAGGGTGGTAAGGACCTGTTGTTAGTAGTAATAAAGGCAGGGAGGTAAGGACCTGGTGTGGGTTAGTAATAAAGGAAGGATGGTAAGGACCTGGTGTGGGTAGTAATAAAGGCAGGGTGGTAAGGACCTGGTGTGGGTAGTAATAAAGGCAGGGTGGTAAGGACCTGGTGTGGGTTAGTAATAAAGGAAGGATGGTAAGGACCTGGTGTGGGTAGTAATAAAGGCAGGGTGGTAAGGACCTGGTGTAGGTAGTAATAAAGGCAGGGTGGTAAGGACCTGGTGTGGGTAGTAATAAAGGCAGGGTGGTAAGGACCTGGGTGTGGGTAGTAAAAAAGGCAGGGTGGTAAGGACCTGGTGTGGGTAGTAATAAAGGCAGGGTGGTAAGGACCTGGTGTGGGTTAGTAATAAAGGCAGGGTGGTAAGGACCTGGTGTGGGTAGTAATAAAGGCAGGGTGGTAGGACCTGGTGTAGGTAGTAATAAAGGCAGGGTGGTAAGGACCTGGTGTGGGTAGTAATAAAGGCGGGGGTGGTAAGGACTGGTGTAGGTAGTAATAAAGGCAGGGTGGTAAGGACCTGGTGTGAGTAGTAATAAAGGCAGGGTGGTAAGGACCTGGTGTGGGTAGTAATAAAGGCAGGGTGGTAAGGACCTGGTGTGGGTAGTAATAAAGGCAGGGTGGTAAGGACCTGGTGTGGGTAGTAATAAAGGCAGGGTGGTAAGGACCTGGTGTAGGTAGTAATAAAGGCAGGGTGGTAAGGACCTGGTGTGGGTAGTAATAAAGGCACTGTGGTAAGGACCTGGTGTGGGTAGTAATAAAGGCAGGGTGGTAAGGACCTGGTGTGGGTAGTAATAAAGGCAGGGTGGTAAGGACCTGGTGTGGGTAGTAATAAAGGCAGGGTGGTAAGGACCTGGTGTGGGTAGTAATAAAGGCAGGGTGGTAAGGACCTGGTGTGGGTAGTAATAAAGGCTGGGAGGTAAGGACCTGGTGTTTACCTGGAAAGAGTTCCGGGGGTCAACGCCCCCGCTGCCCGGTCTGTGACCAGGCCTCCTGGTGGATCAGAGCCTGATCAACCAGGCTGTTGCTGCTGGCTGCACGCAAACCAACGTACAAGCCACAGCCCTGCTGGTCAGGAACCGACTTTAGGTGCTTGTCCAGTGCCAGCTTGAAGACTGCCAGGGGTCTGTTGGTAATCCCCCTTATGTATGCTGGGAGGCAGTTGAACAGTCTCGGGCCCCTGACACTTATTGTATGGTCTCTTAACGTGCTAGTGACACCCCTGCTTTTCATTGGGGGGATGTTGCATCGTCTGCCAAGTCTTTTGCTTTCGTAGTGAGTGATTTTCGTGTGCAAGTTCGGTACTAGTCCCTCTAGGATTTTCCAGGTGTATATAATCATGTATCTCTCCCGCCTGCAGAGAGGCAGAGGCAGGGTGGTAAGGATCTGGTGTGGGTAGTAATAAAGGCAGGGTTTTAAGGACCTGGTGTGGGTAGTAATAAAGGCAGGGTGGTAAGGACCTGGTGTGGGTAGTAATAAAGGCAGGGTGGTAAGGAAGTAGTGTGGGTTAGTAATAAATGAAAGGTGGTAAGGAGCATACTAACAGCAATCATAAAGAGCTGGGCAACACGGTATTCCTCCACCGTCAGTGGAAGGGGGATGCGATACTCCTTGATGAGCACCATGCTGCCTCCCTCACACTACCGCATCATCTGAAACAATAATCATCACTCGTAGTCTTCACATGATACAACAATACCATCTCATAAATGCTATAACGATAGGAAATTTTAAAAACTATGACATAATTACTGAAGACCGAGCACCCCCAGTGTAACTCTTCTCCAGCAGCTACAAATAGGTAATGACAAATAGATAATTGCACGTCACCAGAAAATTTTAATGCAATAACGAGAATTTACATGCTAGACTGCAAACTTCAAAATAGACACAAGGTTCAGATATATGGGCGGGAAAATTCTCATAAACATTTACCAACATATGTTAGGTCAGAACTGTAATATGCACCATTATTGTGGTGTTAATGCATCAAAAACCTGTGGCTAGGATAAAAAAATAAAAACAAAATAGTTCCAGAGGTAAAAAGTTAAATTATAAAAAGTCCATCATAGACAAACAGGAAAAAGAGATAAGATTTAATAACCACATACAGTGTCTAAACAAATATATGAAGATTTCTTAGGCCATTAGTAGGGACAAGATGCAGTTGAAACAATAGAGAAATGGGTTACAAAACGTATTAAACAGTTTTTTCTGTATATATAGCCTACTACTGAAACAGAATCAAAGAAGGAAGTACTGTATGAGTGTTGCTATCACCGGAAGTACTGTATGAATGTTATCACCGGAAGTACTGTATGAATGTTATCACCGGAAGTACTGTATGAATGTTATCACCGGAAGTACTGTATGAGTGTTACTATAACCGAAATCCTTAAAAAACGGCACATTATAAACTTAAAATGAAACTCTACGAGCACAGTTGTATTCCCCATGCGATGTATGACCCCTACGGATTTATCGCTTTCCCCAGATTTAATGTTAATAATCTGGCCTTGTAACTATAAAAAAAGTATATTATTGTATAATTATTGAAAGAAAAGAACAATGACTAAGTCTAATATAGCAGAGTCATTGATTAATGTCAGAGGATAATTATTATAATCACGAGAAAGCCCCGAAGCAGCAGGAGATCATACAGTGCCTGGAGAATGAGAGGTTATTAGGTTTGAGGTGAGGAAGGGGAAAGTAGTTCCGATTACTTGCATCAAGAATCCTTCACCGGCATCAAGGTATCCCCCTTTAAAGGTAAGAGAAGGGTAGCCCCTTTCACACGTAAGTAATAATGTAACCGAGGAGGCAGAGCATGGGCACGAGGGCAACTGTGCATACCACGCCAGGAGGAGCTGCCTGTGAATCAAACACATACTCGTCGTGTTGTCATGGTAAGGGTTGAGATAAGGCAGAGGGGACGGCTGAGGACATACGGGCCAACTGAGGAGGTGTAGGACGGCTGAGGACATGTGGGCCAACTGAGGAGGTGTGGGACGGCTGAGGACATGTGGGCCAACTGAGGAGGTGTGGGACGGCAGAGGAAATGTGGGATGACTGAGGGAAGATATAAGTGAAATACGGGTGAAAACATCCGTAGAGTTCTCAAACAGCAGCCAAGCTCTCGGTGGTCTCGCTACCTAGGCCTAGGTGACACTCTGGCACTGTCCAAGTGTGTTTGGTGTGTCTCTCTCTCTCTCTAGCACTAGGAGTGTGTGTACCAGTGCCCCTGGGTGAAGCAGGGCAACGCAGTGCGACACAGGGATAGGGGGGGGGGGAGAAAGGGGCGTCACTCACAAAGTGCGAGTCTCAGTTCACTGCACACAGGGATCGACCGTCGCCAACCACCACCACCACCACCATCACCCACTCTCTCTCACTGCAGTGGTGACACATTGCCCATCTCACCCACTGTTTCTCTCATAACCAATTTTAAGAGCTGATTCATACTTCAGGGCAAGGGTCAGGCTTAGTGACCTCGAACCTGAGACTCGACAGAGATTTCTCCTGCAATACCTCGTCTTTGTGAAGGTTGCTGGTGGTGAAGAGATGTAGGTGACAGGTTTTTACAGGTAACACTGTAACTAGGAGTTACACAGCGCCTGGGAAATGGGAGGCCATCAGGTTTGATCCAAGGAAGGAAAGGCTAACTCCAACTCCTTGGAGCAAGAGTCTTTAATTATCAAGGCACGTTCCCCTTGAAGAAAGGAATGAATCTGAACCACGGTTAGAGTGAACCTCAAAGCAGTTTCTCCAGAAAGTCACTCTTCACTATCAGTGAATGGAGGCTCGAGCCTTCACCACTTCTTGGGCTGAGTGTCCCTCACAGATTTAGTGCTACATAAAATATACAACAATACAATGTAGTTCGTTAATGCCTCTATTATTAGCAAATGAACCTTTATCGTCATGACAACGCAATTATGGAATTGCACTCAACACGCTTTCTCCTCAGCTTGCTCTAATGAAGCTTGGCCCTGACGGTATCATCACAGGCTTAGCATCTCTTGTTTAGAATTCTAAGTTTATCCTAATGATCTCTATGGGTTTTGCATTCTTTTGTAAATAAAACAACAATAATAATAATAATTAGGAAGGTTGATAAGCAACCTATTATTTTCCTCGCAGGTTTGTTCCTGAATGTACGATTTTGGTTTCCATTCAATGGAGTTGTTTAATAATGTTTTGTAATCTATTCCAGTTTTTTTGTTTCTTTACATTTTTATAGCGGAATAACTGAAATTTGCTCTCGATGAACATCATGTTACTTCGTAATTTTACGACAACATTTGGTTTACACCAACTTGGAGGTTTGTTGTGTCTTCCATGGCTCTCACTTATAATTCTAATACTGTCTGAGAAGAATACTACAGTGCTGTGATTTGTATCATTTTCTATGTCAGTTAAGGAATAAGAAAAAATGGGGAAAGTATTGTGCCTTGAGAAACGAGATTTTCACCGTGGCTGCTTCGGATTTGTTAAGTATCGTTCTTTGGGTGCGATTTGCAAGAAGTTTAAAAACAAAGAGACACAATACCGTGATTGGAACAATACACAAATATCCTGCACATAGGAGAGAGAAGCCATAAGCACTCTCCTATGTAAGGGATATTTGTGTATTGCTATAAGTTTAATATTCGCCTTTCCCTCTTCTTTAGGTTAAGTTAGGTAAGGTTTGTCAGGAAACAGGACAAGTGTTTCCTGACGCGAGTCTTAGAGGATGACCCGCCGTTGAAGGTTTTGGTCATTTGACCGAGGTCTTCCGCTGGCTTACCAGTCCACCCCTTTAAAAACTGTGGCCATAGTTATAACTATTTTCTCTATTTATTTATCGTGCATAATCACACTTGTCAAAGACTTTCGCAAAGTCTGTGAACATAACATCAGCCTTTTACTTGCCTCCAAGAGCGTCCAAAACTAAATGACAATAATTATGTCTTCTGGTTGTTGTGAGGTTTCTATAAACACGATGAACTTAAAAAAAAGACGAGAAGTTATCCAGGCTGAGGGACTGGCCACCTCAAACTATGTCTTCGAGGGTGATGGACTGACTATATCGCCTGTATATCTCTACCGCTTCTGCTGCCTCCTCTATATTCGACTGAAGAAGCCTACTGTGTAGGCGAAACGTTTCGGAATAAAGATACCTAACTGTTGCACATGTGACTTATTTATCAAAAACTATAAAGATGAGTATTTCTATAAAGACGTTTAGAGCTGCTATAAAGACAATGAAAGCCTCTACAAATAAGATAAGAGCTTGTATAAAAACGATGAGAGCTTCAATAAAGATGATGAAAACTATGAAGACGTTTAGAGCTTTTGTGAAAATTATGAGAGCTGTATAGATGTTGAAAGCTTTACAGAGAGGACCACTGAGAGCTTGTATGCATCCTCAGTAATGTTGCAGCATCTTGTGTGAAACAGGTAAGTGGTCTCTTCTTAACACTGCTTCTCTCATCCTCTTCTTATAAGGTCTGTCTCGCAGTCACTCACTCTCTCCTATTACAGACACCGTTACTACCACCCACTGCTGCCACCATCACCACCCACCAACACCTTCGCAACCATTGCCATCGCTACCAGCAGAGTTGCTGCTTCTACCGTTGTGACCACCACCACCACCTGTGGCACACCATAACCCTCACCACAACCACAGAAATCACCACCATCAATATCACCAATATTGGTGGCACACCATAATCTTCCCCACTAACAAAGAAACCACCACCACTACCCACACCATCTACATTGATCCTGCTGCATATACCATTACAAGTGACTACCACCACCCGTATAACTACCACAACCATCAACACAATAGCTACCACCACCACAGGTATTAGCACTTAAATTAGCACTAAAGCTACCACAAGTATTATAATCAAAGCTACCACCATAACTATCACCACTACAACTATCACCATCACAAGTATTAGTACTTAAATCAGCACTAAAGCTACCACAACTATCACCAGTACAACTACCAGCAGCAGCAAGATGATGAGCAGGTGGCTGGGGGTGGGAAGACACCTCACAGTCTGTCGTCGTACACCTCTTCAGAACACACACTCAGCCTCTCAAACACCTTCCTTCTTTCTCTCCTCTGCCAGTCTCTAGCCTCCACTCTCTTTCCTTATCTCTACACATCCTTTACTCTTTTCTGTCCACTCTCTCTCCACTATCCGTCTATTGCGATTTTCTTCCCACTTACTGTATCGTTCATTTTTGGTGTTAGCATAGCTTTCCTATCATCCTATACACGCTATATATTGCTTAGCCAGAATCACTCATGGTACATATACCCAGTGGTCTGTATTTCTCAATGTGAGTATATCGAAAGGTGTTTATCTTTGTGTATACATACCGAGAGGTATCTTTCATTGCCTATACACGTACATCGAGAGGTATACATTTCTCAGTGTATACAGCGAAGAGTATGAACCTCTTAGTGTGTATATACAGAGATATACTCGGTAATAACCAACATGAAGAGGATCCCAGAAGGGAGTCGAAATGTATATACAGACTAATCACTGTTCTGAGTTTCTGTCTCCATGTGGGTTATTATTGAGCACTGACAAGTGTACAATACAGTTTAGTTATTCATACAGAGATGTGCGTATCTCAGTGTACATAA